GTGACAGAGCTACACATGTACACATCACATAATGGCAATTTAAAGGGTTGCAAACGACAGTAAGTACCCTAGCATTTAGACTGTGCCAAGTAGCCTTAATTGTTCAAGTACAGTCTGGACAACCCAAGGGTCGCATGTTTGAATCTACTTACAGGTTTTTTAATCTTTTTGGATTTTTCCTGTTAATTACAATTCTCAGTCCGCCTTGACTGTGTTTTACTATAGTACGGAATTGTTCTAGCGACAAGAATTTGTGTGTCATTTGAATTGTATGAGTGCCACAGGCCTACCCTGGTTTAATGAGTTCATGTTCTATCAACAAATTGACAATGCATCTTGTTAAAATTTACATTTCAGCCCCTTGCAGTTAATTGGAAAAGTATTATAGTATCATTTTGTTATTACAGGAAAGAGATACTGCTCTTATTGTATCAGCAAGAGGAGGAGATTATGAGACTGTAAAAGTACTGCTGGATAATGGTGCTGATCCAAACATAGGCCTAGAATCGGAATATGTTAGTACATATTATCATTTACTTGTACATTAGAATTGCAACAAGCATGATAAGGAATTTATTACATGGTTAATTCAATTACTGTCCTTCATGTCATGTTAATGTCCCTTATTATCATAACTCACTATAATACATTTTAATTACCATTTATGTACATGTAGTTGGTTATTTTCATGGGTTGTGATTTGCTCCTAGTTAATTTGTGCATGGTTTTAATTTTTGTGGTTGACAGTTTTAAGGAAGTGGTACTTAAATGATTTTGTAGGTGGTTGGTGCTAAATTATTATTTTTAATTTTTTATTATAGCTTGCACCACTGATTGAAGCAGCAAGAGAAGGACATATTAATGTAGTTGAACTATTATTATCCAAAGGAGCTGATCCAAACTGTATAGATCAAGTGAGTATAAGTACATGTATGTGACAATTAATAACATTTTGTAATTATTGTAATTATATACATGTACATTATAGATACATGTACATGTACTGTATTTGCTTGAATGAACACCCTCCCAAATAAACACCCATGACTTACATGTACATGTATGTTTTCCTACTATACAATGTACATTCTAGATACACATATTTTGCCCATTATACTGTTGTTTCTGTCTTTCTTTAAATTCTAAGTACTGTAAGTGAAGAAGTTTTCAAAGAAATAAATTTTAGCAATTTTGTGCTAGCTACATGTACCTTATTTTGTACCTGTAAAATTTGTGTCGACAAAATTTTGTGGATAATCATAAAATGCGTCATCACTGAGGTCATGTGATGTAATAATCATTGAATATGGATTCTCATTGTTGTCTATTTTGTTTCTCTGGGTCTTTAGCTACAACAGCTGCTTGTGACTTCTCCTCTTCTTTCACTATCTTCCTCATTTTTGTCCGCACACTTGAAGAACTTGTACAGTGCCATTTTTATTAACAAATATAATTGAATGTGTGGGCGTTCTGTTCATAAAAGGTTAAAGTATTAATTATTTATGGTTAGATGGTACTGGCAAAAACATTGGAAATTAATATACCTTAAAAATTTTGTATTCCATAGATGTTTAAGCATGCATGTGTTATCAACCTGGGTAGGCTAGGTTTGTGGTTTGTGCATGCTTGTTGTTTATGTCTTAGTGAAAATTACAGAATTTTTTGGTTTTTTAGTCAGCAAGTATCATTCTAAATTTACAAGTGTTGACACTAGCATGCTACATGTACTTTCTATTGGTACCAACACTTGTGCTCAATCTAGCATGGAATTAGGTGAACATTTCCAACCTTTCTGGCTCAGAAGCTCATTATCATGTGTTGACTGTACCATCCCAGCCAATGGTGTCAGCTCTCTAGCATGTCCTATTCAGTGAAAATTACCGTCTGGAAGGAAATTTTGGAGGTAGTTAAATTTGGCGAATTTGGCATTTTGATAGCCATTCACCAAAATAAAAATTCGCCATTTTGAGCCATTATACGCATGCTTAATGGCACATGTCCACAAATTCGCCAAATTAAAATTCGCCAATCACCAAAATTTAGCAGTTCGCCAAAATTTAGTCCCTCAAAATTTCCTTCTGTACGGTATTAATCCTCACATACAGCTGAGTGTAATAAAGAAGTTGGAGGAGGAAAGCAATATGATGACATAAAAGTGTTGAAAGAGAAATTGTTCCATAAGTTTAAGCTGTATATCTAAGAATGTGATTATTGCTTGGGATTTATTCAATCTGGTAATGGTACTTGTACTAAAGAGCGTCAAGTTCCAGTTGCTACTAATGAAGATTTATGCAAGATGTATCAACTCCGTGAAGGAAAGAAAGCATCATTTTGTGGTTGAAGGTAACACATGCTATACATCTTTTTCTTCAAGTGACACCAGTTATTGTTGTTCCAAGATATAGAAGCAAGGAATTAATTATGGTGCTTGTGTAACCATAAAAAATATGGCGATGCACATGGTAAACTAGGCTCCTTTTCTTCTAAATCTAAAGTATCTCCTTCCTTACCTCCACTTGCTGGTAAGCATTCTTTATCTAATAAGGTTCCTCAGAAGCAGTTTAAGTCATCCAAAATGACCTCATCGAATGATACTCAACCTTCTTCTCCTGACCACGTGTCTCCCAAGTCCCTAGGCATCCTGTAAGGCCCTCAGTGATTCACCAAGCAGTCCTACTAAGTCTCAAGACCCCATCTGATGTGTCTGCCAGAACAACTCTGAGTCAGGTCTCATGCTGGCCTGTGAAGAGTGTGGTAACTGGCTTCAATCAAAGTGCATTGGCCTCTCTTGTTCAGTAGCTTCTACATTCCCATTTTTTGTCCTTTCTGTGCTTGAAACCTCCACCACAAAGTTGCCTCTCTTCAACACAACCTGTTCCAAGTTAACAATATTGTTTGTTGCCTCACCAAGTCAGTTGAACTCCTTTCACAGCAGTTCGTGTTTGTCAAAGATGAGCTTGCCTCCATTTGCCTGTCTCTTACAGATATTTCTATTAAGTTAAACTCTCTGGCTACCTCTTCCTCAACTGGTATCACTTCAGCCTCCCAGGATCCTCCCCCTCCTGATAGTTCTTTTTTATCATCTGGCCGCCTTCCAAGGGCATCTCCTCCCTCCAACTCTCCTCCCTCTCCTCTCTGCCCTCCAACACTTCCCCCCCTTCTCCCAACCCCTCAATCCTTCCTCCCCCTCACTTCCCTCGTCCCTTCCTCCCCCTCCTCTCCAACCAGCAACACTTCCTCCTCCCTCTCTCCCTTCGACCCTTGCTCCCCTTCACCCACCCAGGAAATCAGCCCTCCTTCCGACTCCCCACTGGCCTCCCAGGAAAATACTCCTTCCAGATCTACCACCCAGACGTCAGCCCTCTTTATACACTCCTCCCACTCTTCCTCCCCCTTTTCTTCCCTTTCACCCTCTCTCTTATCCTCCTCCTCTTCAAATTCCTCTTCCTCCCTACTCTCTCCCTCCCCACCTTCTCCCTCTCCATCTTCTCCCTCATCCTCCCCCTCTCCTACAACCAACCAATCATCACAGGCAGCTAGTTGTCCCATCCCGGTCTGTCGGTCTTCAACGTCGTCTCTTTCCTCGCTGACCATTATCTCCCTCAACACTCGTAGTATAGTTGCAAACTTCCACCTACTTATCTCTGCTGCTCTCCTTCACTCTCCTGATCTTATCTATGTTTCCGAAACTTGGCTTTGCCCTGAAGTTTTGTCCTCTGAACTATACATTCCCGGATATTCTCTCTTCCGCCTTGACCGCTCTTGTATGGTGGTAGTGATGCTATTTATGTTAAGTCCTGTCTCCAGCCTTCAGTCTTCCAGCTTCCCTCTCACTCCCTAGAACTGTTAACTGTTACTATTCGTGTCCACTCTCAATGCTTTCATGTGTCCTCTTTTTGTAGACCTCCCACCTCAGCTACTGCTATTAGTGATCTGATTAACACCTTCTCTTCTCTTGGGCCTGGTTTCACATCAAAGACCATTTTAGAAGGCGACTTTAATGGTAATGTTGGTAACTCTCAGGCTCCACTCTTTCACCAAGTGTTAGTTCCCTGACATCTATTTTCTCCCTCAGTCAAATTGTCTCACAGCCTACTCACTTTTCTCCTTCTGGGTCCCCCTCAATTATAGATC